AAACTGCGGCCTCAAGGCCACACAAGTGTGGCCCTTTGATGGAATCCAAACTTCGCAGAACAGATCCCCTTAATAAAAATGACAAAATTACTTAATAAAAGGGTAATAGTAATAATAAATTAAATTCAACAAATCATTAATAAATGAATAAAATTAATAAAAGGACCTGTTCTATGAAACTTGGACTCAGTCAAAAGGCTGCCCCCAAGGACCTAGAAGGCGGCGTGTAGCCCCGAGGCTGCAGGCCCCCATCCCGGTTGTTTCCGCTGTCCAGCCTCTCCGCTTTGGTGACTATTGTTTTGTAGCATAGTTTGACATCTGGTTACAGCGGGGCCTCTTTTCCCACTTTTCTTGAATGTTTCCCTTGAGATCCTTAATCTTCACTTCTTCCAGATAAATTTGTTACTGTTTTTTCCTAGCTGTATAAACTAATCCCTGGGTAATAAATTGGTAAATCTTACTGAATAAATAAATTCGTTTAGGTGATATTGTCGCACTTCTCCAAATGAATATTACTATGATTTTAACTATTTCTATAAAGTTCCACTTAGCAATTTATGATGGGCATAGAAAAAACCTCTGGGAGCTTAGCACAGTGCTTGGTATGTAGTAAGCCCCTAAATGCTGTGACATTCATTCATTTGTTCACAGTGACATCATTTTTATTACGCAGTCCTTAGTGTGGAAATGTATCTCCGTGTGAGTCTGATGCAGTGAATTCAGACAGTTTTCCCATCTGTAAAATGGGAATAATGACTACTTGCAGCATCTACCTGATGGAGCTTTATTATCCTTAGTTACTAAGTCTGGCTTACGAGTTGGGGGCCTCGTGTCTGTGGAAGCAAGGCTGAGTCATTGCTTAGAGCCCCAGACAGTTCTCTCAGCCTGCAAGTCAGCAGGTGAGTTGTCAGCCCAGGCGGGAGGTACCGCCAGAAATTCCCTCTGTTGAGGAAGTCTGCGATGCAGGACACCCAAACCGAACTTGTCTATCTGAGCCACTAATGGCCTCACTGTTGTGTGATTCAGAACCCAGGACAACCTTGGCCACACAGGATATTCTCAAAAAGCATTTGGCTTAGAATGCCTTTGAATCATGGTCATCCGCCCTACACCTGACCTCCAGCTGCCTGCCCTCGGGGATCTGAAACTCCCAGCCTGGTGCCATGAGGGCTGTCCTCACTGGGGAGCCCCCCTCACTGACATGCGTGGCCTTCCTTTCCTAGCTGGCCCCAGCAGCGCTTTGCATTTCCCTGGTCATCTTCTGACCGTCCTCTCTGCTACAGAAGCCTGCCCCCTTTGTTGCTGGAAAGGGCAGGTCAGTCAGCCAGCTAGTGGCTCTCTTTAGCCATGGTCCCCATTCTTTCCCAAACCAGATCACTGCTCCCCCATACGTGTGATTCCCCCTTTAGAATGGAAGCTTCTTGGTGGTGAGGACTGCCTTGCTTTTTTTCCTCTTTGTATCCCCACTATGTATTAGTACAGTCCTTGGCACATGGTAAGCGCTTAATAAATGCTTTTTCATTCATTCATTTCCTGTGAGCCCCATGCCCTATACTCCCTGCCATTGTCCCAGGGCTGCAGGTGGGAAGATTCCTGGGTAAATACAGATGTTTTTGGTGTTTCAGGAATCAGTCACATTCCAGGATGTGGCTGTGGAATTCACTCGGGAGGAGTGGCAAAGCTTGAATCGATCTCAGAAAGAGTTATACAAGGACGTGATGCTGGAGAACTATCAGAACATGGTCACCCTAGGTAAGGACGGCTGCCCCCTAGTCAGAATCTGACTCCATGCCTCCTCCCTAATGAGTGATTGAGGGGCTGGAGTCTGGAGCTATGAACAATTATTGTTTGATGAGCAGAAATCAGAGGCCTTCACTTTTCATGAGACAAAAAGGGACAGGGCATTTGAACTGCCTCTTAAGGGAATGAGTTTTGCTTGGTACCACTGGACACGGGGAGCTTGACTTGTCTGGGAATGTGCCTTCCCACTCACTGGTGCTGCAGGTCCAGGATTCTCCCTTACCGTCCCAGGCCTAATCTCATATGTAAAAAGTTCCCCTTGTCTTAGCAAGGGGTGAGTCAAAAGAACTGATTTTATTTCTGAGCCCAACCCCATAAGTCACTCATTTGTGTTTCCTAGCAAGGCAATGTAGAGCATCTTTTGGCAGTCCGGAGCATCCTCTGGTCTTCCTGGCAGGCCTCCTTTCGCTCCACAGAGATGGGACTGTGGTTGAATTCTTCTCTTACACTTTTATGAATGCTTTTTTAAAGAATGCTCTCATCTTTTCCTGAAATGCCAGCCCTAGCCCAGTCTCATGGAGCTCCTACTGGTCACATACTTAGACAAAGCCAGCAACATAGCAGCCACATCTGGTGGTGTAAGCCACAGCCCCACCCTTCCGCCCCAGTAGGAAGGACTGTGTCTTTCTTGGAGGATGGAATTCTGATGCAGCTTTCCATTCCCCACATTGTTCCATTTTCAATGACCAGGATTCGCTGTCTCCAGTCCAGATGTGATCGACCAGTTGGAGCGAGGCGAAGCGGCTTGGACGCCAAGGGGAGACCACCCAAAAAGCACATCTCCAGGTGAGTTCATGGAGACGGGGCAGCTCTGTTGGTCATTTGGGGGAAGCATTGGCAGCGTGGGGGACGGAGAGGCCTCCCCACAGTGCGCCAGGCCCGTGGGCAAGTGCTGAGGCTGCCTTCCCAGAGCTCCATCTTTCATTCAGCGAGGATGCTGATGGCACCTCCTGTGCCCCTCATAGAGTCGAGGACGTGCCTTATCTTTAGCAGCCATCCTCGTGTTCCACCTGCATCAGTCGGCTCATTCTCTCTGTTTGTAAATGCACTTTTTGCTTCTGCATCTCCTTCTGATCTTTCCTATGTTTCCGGATGTTGCTGCTGTTCTTAAAAAATATCATCATCCTTGTCCTTCTTCCTTCAAGCCAAGTCACTTCACCACATTTCCCCAACACTGCTGGGCCTCTATGGCACTTTGAAGGCAGAGCACCAGCTCCGTCTGGCCAAAGTCGTTCAATTCTAGTCCCACTGTGGGCCTCTGATTTTGTGTCCTGATCTTACCAGCTCCCATGAAGTTGCTGTGAATACTTCTTGAGAGACAGAGGTCTTGGTTCCTTTCGCTAGCACTTTTTGGATGGACTCCGGGGGCAGAACCGTTCTGGCACGGTCTGTTCTGAAGCACTAGTCATGTGTTATCATGTCGCTTTTCAAAAAGATGTGCCTAGTCCTCTACTGCTCTACCAACACTTTTATCATGTTTAACTGTCTTTATTTATATCATCAGCATGTTGTGGCAACTTAGAATTCTGTTTTTATTCTAACTTCTCTGATTATTGGAGAATTTGACTAATGTTTTAGATTATTATTAATAATTTATAATGCCTGTTTTGACCATTTAGGTTTTTGGAATTTGATCTCTTAAAATTTGATTCGGTTACTATGAAGTCTGAAAATCAGACCTTTAGCAGAAATATTTAAGGCAGCAATGTTTTCGTTCTATCTATTTCTTTCCTTTTTATCCTGGATACCTTGCTTTTTGTCATACAGAAACTCTTCAGCTTGCTATAATCTAATTAATCTTCTTTGTCTCCTAGAATTTCTTCTATTTGTTGAATGGATAAGAATTTCCCTCCTCTCCACAATTGCAATAAATACACCACAGTAGAAGGTTCTCAGATCTCAGATCTCGAAGGAAGGGCAGACCTGAGGGGTGACAGAGTCAGGCCACAGGGCCAGGATAATTGAGAGGGAATTTAAGAGGGGTGAGTGGCAGGCCTCACACCTCGGTGCCAGACATCAAGTCCACAAGACAAGATGGTCACAGAGCCAAGTGGCCATCTTTCTGTAACGAAAGACTTTAAGTTACATGTAATTCAAAAGCATGACCTGGCATCCAGGAAGGTTATGGGAGGGGAAGTGGCACGGCGTCCAGGACCAGGCTGGGTGGCTACCTCCTGTGGCATTCATGCAAAGCATTCGGGGCCAGCTGGAGAGTGGACTTAGGGTCCTCTCTCGGAGTGGAGAGTGAGGAGTGACCACCTAGGGGAAGCCGGATGATGGGGGCGTTGCGGTGTCTGCCTCAGGAAGTTTGCGTTTGTCCTGGAGGAGAGGATGTCCGACAGGCCCTGCCCTGACGTCACTGAGATTGTAGGGAGATGAATCCAGCTGCCTCGCTGGGTGGTGGAAGGGGAAGGGCTGAGACAGCCACCACCAGGAGGCCACGCTGCCATGCTGTGAGTTGATCAGAGGCTGATTCCATCCTGTCTTTATTGTTGCTCACTCCTCATCTTTCTCTTAAGTCTGTGCCCCTGGTGACTTTGGGACTCCTTCACGCCCACAGCCCCACATCCATTCTCTTTATTGTTCTGTTTAGTTTTCATCCTTCCTTCCATCCTATCCTCTCCCCTCCCCCCCAAGGGGGATATGTTTGCAAGCGGTTAAAGCCTTTAACCCTTTGTAGATGCTCTCTTTCCTTTCCTTAATTTGTTCACATCAGCCATTTACACTGCAGTAAGGATTTGTTCATAAATCAAACATTCATCCTTTTATTACTGTTCTTGGAAGTAATGTAATCTTGAATCTGTATTCATTTAACTGTATTATCTGCTGTCATACCTTTATGTAACATATACCGAGGACCCTAATGCAAAGACAAATGAAACTGTATTCTCCTCCCCTACCCCAAGAGAGCAGGCAGGAGAAAGGCTCTTAAAGCCTGTGAGCAGTTCTTGGGGAGTGGAGGAAGAGAGGCAGCATTAATCATTCCCTCCTTGTTCTTCCTTCCAGGTAGTAAAAAAGTTATTCGTCACCAGAAAGTTCGTGCTTCAGAGAAACGTTATCAATGTAATGACTGCGGAATGACCTTCCTTGAGTACAAGCAACTTGTCCAGCATCAGAAAATCCGTCCTGCAAGAAGACTTTATGAATGTAATGAGTGTGGGAAGTCCTTCCAGGAGAACTCCAAATTTATTGTGCATCAGAGAATTCATACCGGGGAAAAACCTTTTGAATGCAAAAAATGTGGGAAAACCTTCCGCCAGAACTCACAGCTTATTCGACATCAGAGAATTCACACTGGAGAGAAGCCTTATAAATGTATTAAATGTGGGAGGGGCTTCCACCAGAGTTCAGACCTCATTCGACATCATAAAATTCATATTGGAGACAAGTGTTATAAATGTAAGGAATGTGAGAAGACTTTCCTGGAGAGCTCAGCACTTGTTCGACATCAAAGAATTCATAAGAGAAAGAAAGCTCACGAATCCAGTGACTATGAAAAGACTGTCTATGAGTGCAAACAGTTTACTGAACCTCAAACAGTCCATACAGGAGAAAAACCTTCTGAATGTGTGGAATCCAGTGGCAAAGAATTTAATCTAAAGAAACAACAGCAGAAAACGCATACTGGAGAGAAGCCTTGTGAATGGAAGGCCTGTAAGAGCTCAGAATTCCCGGTATGTCAGAGAATTCAGTGTACAGACAAATCTTATGAATGTAATAAATGTGAAAAGGTCTTCCACCAGATACCAGACCTTATTCACCATCAAAAACTTCATGTTGGAGAGAAACCTTTTGAGTGTTGTGAATGTGGGAAGGCCTTCCGCCTGAGGAAGCAGCTTGTTCAGCACCACATGACTCACGCTGAAGAGAAGCCATACAAATGTAACAAATGTGAGAAGACCTTCGGCCGTAGTGCACAGCTGACTGTGCATCAGAGACTTCACACAGGGGAGAGACCTTATGCTTGCAGCGAATGTGGGAAGGCCTTCAATGAGAGCAAACAACTGATTGTACATCAGAGAATACACAGTGGAGAGAAGCCTTATGAGTGTAACAGATGTGAAAAGGCTTTCCGTCTGAAGACACAGCTCACTAGACACCAGAGAATTCACACAGGAGAAAAGCCTTATGAATGTAAAGAATGTGGGAAGACTTTCCTGGAGAGCTCAGCACTTATTCGACATCAGAGAGTTCACACAGGAGCAAAACCTTATGAATGCAAAAAATGTGGGAAGGCCTTTCGCCAGAGCTCACATCTCACCCAGCATCAGCGAATTCATACAGGAGAAAAACCTTATGAATGTAATGAGTGTGGGAAGGCCTTCAGTGTGAAGACACAACATACTCGACATCAGAAATGTCACATTAGAGAGAAATCTTTTAAATGAAATCAATCTAGGAGGTCTTTCCTTAAGAGTTAACACCTTGCTCTCAGTTAAAAAATTCTTACATACAGAACAATCATTCATGTGGAAAGACTTTCCATCTGAGGACATCAAGGCTTTCTTTACCTTAGGGCATTCATACTGGAGAAAAACCCTGTGAAGGTGGGAAGTCCAGCCAAAGCACACAACTTTCTGGGCATCAGAAAATTTATAGTAGAAAGAAACATTGTCCATGTAATAAGTTATGCTAACAACTTCTGAGAAAGTAAAAAATGAAGTGAATAGCAGAGTATTACATAGAAGATTTATTAGTGTGTTGAATATGGGAAGGCTTTCCAAAAGAATTTTTTAAAACTGAACTTCAGAGGAAAATGTCTTAAGTGTAATGAATATAGAGGTCTTCAACCAGAGTTTAAAATTTAATCCATGTCAGGAGATTCACGTTGGAAAGAAACATTATGAAGGTGTGAAGGCCTTCTTTCAGGGTCAACTTTCTTAGTCTCAGAAAGGGGAGAAACATTTTTATCATCGTGATTATGAGAGAGCAAACATCTTAATGAGTATCAGAAAAATTCATAGTGGAGAGAAACTTATCAATGTATTGAATTTGGGAAGACCTTCATCAGAGTTCAAAATATGTTCATCAGAAAATTTGCAGTGGAGAAAAAAAATGATTCTAGCAACTGTGGGAAATTTTCCACCACACTTCTCGTCTCAAACAACATCAGGGAATGTTGTGTTCAGATGAGAAAATTTATGAGTATAATGTATTTGGGAAGACCTTTCCCCAGAAATCACAACTTTTCTTCATCAAAAAACTCATAATGGATTGAACGAATGTCTTCATTGGGGAAATGCTTTCCTCAGAAGCAAAAATCTTAACGTCAGAAACCTAGAAAGACTTTTATAAAATATTATAAAGGAGATTAAAAACAACTAGGAAATTGGAAGCTACATGATGCAGTGGATAGAGCACAGAGCCTGGAGTCAGGAAGACCTGAGTTCAAATCTGGCCTCAGACACTTCCTAGCTATGTGATCGGGGCAAGTCACTTACCCCAGTTTGCCTCAGTTTCTTCAACTATAAAATGGAGATAATAGCAGCACCTACCTCCCAGGGCTATTGAGGGAATGAAATGAGATAATATGTGTAGAATGCTGTGTAAACCTTAAAATGCCATCTAAATGTCAGCTGTCATTATTAATGATGCAGTGATCGTAGGAGGAAAAGAATCCTGATCGTTGCTTATAAGGAGAGACTGATAAAAGGCTATGGTACTTTATGCAGTTAAGTAAATTTAAATGAAAATAGTTATTTAGCAAGTTTGGGTATTTACATTGATGTTGGATATTAAGTTTCTAACAATGTTTAATTTGAAAAAGAAAAAGCACAGACTTGGCCACAGAGGGGCCCTTCGAGATTGCCCCGTGCAGCCTGCCATTTTATGGATGAGGAAGCTAAAGTCCAAAGAAGTGAGGATTCCAACCCAGGTGCTCTGATTCCAAATGCCAGTTGGCTTTCCCTACTCCATAGTGCCTTCCAAGGGACACAAAAGAGTTTTAGAGATACGTGACTTGCTGTCTAGTTCCACATTTTTAAAATAAGCTCTAAACGTCATTTGAATTCTCAGCTGGACCTCTGATCTCACCCTTGGGAGAGCCCACCCAAGTTCATTTTCCCATCACCTCTCACCTGGATTGTTGCAGCAAGCTCCTCTTTGGCTGGCCTGACTCTAGTCCATTCTCTGCACAGCAGCCAGGTGACTGCCCTGAAGCTCAGGGCCTGTCATGACACCTCACACCTTCCTCAGCCAGCTTTAATGGTGCTCTCTTGCCTTGAGGATCAAATAAAGACTTTCCCACTTGACAACCTACCCCACTCCTGCCTTTTTAGTCATCTTCTGCTTTCATCCCCTCCACCTCTGTGGTCCAACCACACTGGCCTACTTACCATTCACATATGGTGTTCCGTCATTGGTCTTTATGTCTGGAATGCACTCCTTCCACCTCCGGGTCTTGGAGTTCCTGACTTCTATCAAGATTCAGCTCAAATACCACCGGTTTCTCCCGGGCCCTCAGCTCCTGGTTCTCCCGCTTCATCCCCCAAATTATCTTGTATTTATGTACTCATGTGGGTACACATTGTCTCCTTGTCCAGAATGTGAGCTCCTTGAGGGCAGAAACTACTGTGTCTTTTTTATGTCCCCAGCACTTAGAGCATCTTGCCCATAGTAAGCACTTCAAACATTGCTTATTAGTCAGTGGGTTGATAGCGATGGAGTAGAGCCCAAGAGGCTGTCTGATTGCTTTTCTCTTGTATTCAATACATGACCAGCCCTTACTTATTTTTGCTCATCCATTGTTTTCATGCCACCTTGTACTCCAGTTTTTCTTAATTCCCTGATTGCAACATGTGGCAACCTTCTCATTGCTACCATATAATCTCCTGCCCTCTGGGTATTATGTCCTGTTCACCCATTTTTCCCCTTTCACTGAAGTCGCCAAGTGTCCAAGTATGTGTTAATTTAGTTTGGAGAGCCTTCCTGTGTTCTTCTTAGAACTTTCCTCATCCTTTCCAATAAATGATACAAAAGCTGCAATGTTTCTTGTTGTAGCCTCTTCTCACAAATTTATTGTGGCACTACAATGTGAGATGACCAAAGATCCTGCGTGAGCCACTACTTCTGATTGCCTGGGTACATGATAAAACCAACTCCACCAATGTCCTTACGTGCATCTAAGGACAGCCTATGGGCCATTTTCCAATTGAGCTAAAACTACCTTCCACTGGTTTTATGGATAGGGAGATATCAAGACTATTTTTCCAGTAGTGTGTCTACTTCTTGGTCACTGAATAAGGATCTCACATTTAGAGGAAGAAAGGATAAGTCGATGTTTACAGATAATCTGAAACCTGAGATTCTCAGTGGTCCCAAACTACCTATACAGCAGGAGTGGGACAAGTCTCAGTCATCTATGAACAGTGTCAGGCCACCAGGGAGTAAAATGGGTCTGAACTTTTAAGAGGCTAAGTCAAGTTGAAAACCTCCTTTTTATGTTACATAACCTCAAGCAGATCCTCATTGTGCCAACCAATCCTTCTACACCTTCCTAAACGACTCATTAACCCACTCACCACAGTGGCTCTTCCAACACACTTTATCCTTTAAAAACCTCCCATGGTTCCCCTCTCCTATCCTCTCAGCTGAGAATCTTGCCTCATATTTCACTGAAAAAATTGAGGCTATTCACTGAGTGCTTCCTTTTTCCCTCATTTCATCTCCTTGCCCAGGTGCCTTCTCCCCCTGCCTCCTCCAAGGCAGCTAGGTGGTGGTGCAGTGGATCATTGGGCCCGGAGTCAGGAAGAACTTGAGTTCAAATCCAGCCTTGGACACTAGCTGTAAGGTGGGGATAATGACAGCACCTACTTTCCAGGGTAGTGAGGATCAGATGAGACGGTATTTATAAAGTGCTTGGCCTGGTGCCTGGCACATAGTAGGTGTATATAAATGCTTATTCCTTCCCTTCACCCTTTATCACATGAAAGGTGGTCATTGCCAAAGCAAACCTGTCTACATGCACAAGTGATCCCATTCTCTGGCCCAGTGCCTCCTCTTAGCACGTACCCCTCTAACTTATCTTCAGTCTCTCCCTGCATATTAGCTGCCTCTTTCTGCCTATACACACACCCATGTTTCCACCATCTTCATAAAACTCTTGCCTGACCCGTCCCTGATAGTCATTGTCCTGCATCTTTCCCCAGTGTAGATAAACCCTCTGGTCTCATTGTTAAGCTGAAACTGCCATTGCCAAACCTACCAATGATTTCTTAATTGTCAAATCTAATGCTCTTTGTTCAGTCCTCATCCTTCATCTCCCTGTAGCTTTTGATGCTGGCATCACCTCTGGGCTTCCGTGACACTCTATCCTGCTTCTCCTCCCTGTCTGACCATTCTCTCCCTCTATTTTGCTGGATCCTATGTTTTTAATTATCTTCTCTGCTGCTGATGACTTGAAGTATTCTTCATCCACTCGTCCAGCCCCTGGAGTCTTTATCTCCAGTTGCCCATTAGAAACCTTGAACTAAATGTTCTATAGATATCTTGGTTTGACATGCCCCGAAGTGAACACATTAACTTCCCCCAGGGCCTCCCCACCCCCAAATTTCTCTTAATGTTGAGGGTAATGCTATCAGTCATCTGGGATCACCACCAACATGTTACCCTCTATTCTCACACCCTATAGATGATCTGTTGCCAAGTCCAGTTGGCTTTGCCTTTCTAACAACTCTGGTGTACCTTGCTGGTTGATCTCCCTGCTTCGTCTCTCCCCACCCCAATCTATCCCCCCCTCACCGGTCACATTAATCTTCCCAAAGTACAGATCTGACCATTTCACTCCTAGTCAGCACACTCCAGTGCCTGTCACCTCTAGGATCAAATGTGAAAACCTGGCATTCAGAGCCCCTCCCAATCCGACACCTCCTCCCCCCTACCCCACACACCTTTCCAGGATTCTGTGATTCAGTGACAGTGGCCTTGCTGTTTCTAAGACAAAACATTCCATCCATTGCCTCTGTGCATTTTCATTTGCTGTCCCCTATGGCTGGATATTCTCTCCTTAGACTCACCTCCTGGCTTCCCTAGCTTCCTGCAGGTCCCAGCTAAAATCCAGTCTTCTATGAGAAGCCTTTCCCAACCCCCTCCCCTTAATGCTGGCGCCTTCCCTCTTGTCTCCAATTTGTCCTGCATATATCTTGTTTGTACAGTTTTAATTCAATAAGAATGTATTATGTTTATGTGCCAGGCACCATGCCAAGCACATGTTAACTCCCTGAGTATACTTTGAGCTTCTTGAGAGCATGGGTTCTCTTTTGCCTTTATATCAGTGCTGTGCAAACTGCCCGGCACACAATAGGTGCTTAGTAATGCTTATAGGCTGACT